AAATTTTAAAATAGGATGGAGTGTTTTGTTTTTAAAACAGATTGATTCTTACATAGAGTTGGCATGGGAGGGGGAGATGAAAAGCATATCTGTCTTTCTAACCTTGAGCGTTTTGGGGACTGTATTGTAAAGAAAATCAGGGTTGAACCCTCAAGGGTGTTTGAAGGGAGGGAGCTTGACTTAATCTTTACACTATGATGTAGTAACACTCAAAGCAATAGAGATCATGCTTAGGTGTTTGAAAGAAAATGGAAAAAAAATATGTACAAAATCTTCTAAGGGGCATCCAGCCTCAGGGATTTCCCAGGAAGTGATCTGGCAGCCCTTACGGGTCTCCTTTAAGAATCTCAGTTATTCTGCATTCCTAGAAGGCAGCGGCAATGCCCAGAAAAATATGTACTAAGTAGTCGGAGACCTCTAACAGCCGTAAAGTGGACAAGATATAATTAATGTTTTATTATCCTAGACTCAGTCATAAGCACGCTAAAATACTGTAGCTGGCCACAGTATATAAGTGCTTTGTAACACTGCTAGTAGTATAATGCTCCTAACAATGTGAAAGTGTTTTATATCACAGCTAAGCATAATTACAGCAGTAATATGTAGCTGCAAAGGGAGATGGATGTTTGATTGCACAAATAAGGGACAGAAAAACATGAATCAATGATTTAAGTACTTAAATCTGCAAGCGAAAACAAAGAACACAGAGTAAGGAGGAAAGATTTCTGGTGGAACCAGAACAGTTTCTGGTCCTAAAGAAAAGGAGGTAAGTAATGTCAGCAGTGGGTGATATTTCTTCCCACACTCTTTTTTGGTGAAGGGGATTACGAGCTTTAAAAACACCCAGCGACATGAAGGAGAAGCGGGGAAGAAAGAAGTCTACCACCAGGGCTCTTGCTTCAGAGTCCAAATAGCGCTCTCACCTGTTCACCTCAACTTCAGCAGCTAAGGCCATCAAGGACCATAGCTATCCGTGTATAACTACATGGCATCGGTTCAGTGCTATTGTGTACTCAAAGCTAATTTAGGATAAGATGATTAGGGCCTAGCTGTTTGAATATGTAGTGATAATGGCTGATAATGATTAAGAACTTCACCATTGGCAATGCGTATGTCTAATGAATGTCAGTCTAGTGAAGTGTTGTTATGAAGTTGGCAACTGGTCTCATTTATCAGGTTTCCAAATCTTCCCATCACAGCTACCTTACACTTAGCCGTGTTAAGCAGTCACTGCTTATCAGGACAGGGACGAGTGAAGGATCTCCATGGATTTTTCTGTTCAAAGCCTAAAATTGGTTTTACATAGTTAAGAAATTACTTCAATTGCAGGCTAGAGATGTGATTACCTGTTTTGAGGTAAAGAAATTATGCACAACTTCATCAGACCTCAATGACAATGAACGCGTGCGTGTATTTTGTGTGAATCTAGCTAGGAATCTGCAATGTGCTTGCTGTACCTTGGCACTTGCATGCATAATTTATGTTCTGTAAGCTCGGCGAGGAGTCATTTGCTTGTGAGCCTTTCTGTTCTGTGATCTTAAGTCACAACAGCTTATTATATATTCTTGCTTTTCCTGTTTGCAGTACAAGCTCCAGATTCACAAATTACATTGAAATAAACATGGAAAAAAAAATCTTAGGTTAATTTATATTAAAAATGTTTACTATCTTATGCTCTCTCTCGTCCCAGATGCACATGCTTCCATATAATCAATATGTGTGTGATCACTAACTTGTTTCATTAGTTTTATACTGAGTGATGTAAATTTAGTCTGCTGCCAGTTTTTTTAGATTTCCCAAACCTGTCGAAAGTATTGTGTAGTGCGTTAAATTTCTTCTAGAAATTTCAGGTTTTTCTTTTTCTTCATGTCTCTCCCTTCATTAGAACTGATGTTCCTCACGCTCAACCCTCATACCTTTTGGTGTCTGAAAACATCTTTTTTTCTGAGAAGGAGAGGGAAAGGCAGAACACAAATACTAAACTTTTACAGAAAGAAAACCCGAGTTACTGCCTTCCTCTTTGCAGGTTCTGACTGCTCCATCTCCCTTTTCTTAAAATAGCTGCAATGAGCTGATTGCCCCTCCTTTTCCTTGCCCTGCACAGAATCACAGAATGTTCACAGAGGGTTGGAAGGGACCTCTGTGAGTCATCTAGTCCAACCCCCCTGCCAAAGCAGGGTCACCTACAGCAGGGTGTAGAGGACCTTGTCCAGGTGGGTCTTGAATATCTCCAGAGAAGGAGACTCCACAACCACCCTGGGCAGCCTGTTCCAGTGCTCCGTCACCCTCAGAGGGAAGAAGGTCTTCCTAATGTTCAGATGGAACTTCCTATGCTTCAGTTTGTGCCCATTGTCCCTTGTCCTGTCGCTGGGCACTACTGAAAAGAGTCTGGCCCCATCCTCCTGACACCCACCCTTCAGATATTTATAAGCATTTATTAGGTCCCCTCTCAGCCTTCTCTTCTTCAGGCTGAACAAGCCCAGCTCCCTCAGCCTCTCCTTGTAGGAGAGATCCTCCAGTCCCCT